TTTGAAGTTTGAACACACAATGCTCTGAAAAAACTCGACTATACATAGAAAAACTGAACAAAATCAAATACTTCTTCCATGAGAACAAAATCTGATCTATTAAGTTAAAGGAACAAACTTTAGAATACTAACGATCCAAATTCTACAGCCACAACAACAGTAACACAGTCTGACAAACTCAATATCTGATTTTGAAAAGCTTTTGGAGCTCAATTATCCATTGGAACAAACAAAACAATGGAAGTAACACCAAAACACAGAACAATCTCTCATGTTTTATACTTAACTACTCAAAGCAAAACGTTTACCAAAAGCACATTGATCTCCACTCTTTCATCAGAAACCCTAAATCATCACTCCAAATCCTTAACGATCTTGATACCCATAGAATTAGCAGTACCAATGATAGATTTGCAAATCGATTCCAATGGCATATACTGACAAAACGGATCCGTCTGCTTCACCTTCGCGATCTCGTACACGTGTCCCACCGATAGCGTCGTCACCGTCAAATGTCCCGGTCGTGTGCTTCCTTTATCGACTCCAGCTGCTTTCTTGATGTACCACGACACCGTCGGAGACTTAACGGTGAATTCGAAAGAGTTGTCTTTGAACGCCGTTATCGTCACGGCCATCGGAGTGTCCGGTTTGTACTTTTGAGTCCGAGCGTTGAAGTCTTTGCAGAAAGCCATCAGGTTAAGCCTGTACTGACCTAGCGCCGGACCTACCGGTGGTGCTGGCCTTGCTCCTCCCGCCGGAACGGTTAGCCTTATTGTTGCCGCCACTGGTCGCCGTGTTAAGATCTCCTTCGCAGCCGCCGCCATTGTTGCGATCGTGATGAGAGCTTCCACGGTTCTTCGAGGGTTTTTGTGACAAGGTGTAGAGATTGGGCCTTTGCTTTTGATTTGGGCCTTATCTTTAGCCCATTAGATTCTAAATAGCTATTTCTATTTCGTTGTTTTGGAATTGATGTTTCTTGGACCGGTTGGTGGGATTATCATGGGACGGTTGCCGAATAATCAATAGTTACATGACAAAACAATTTAAAAATGAATTAACAAAGAGTGTTTGGTGTATAGTTCTAGAACTATATCATATTAAAATGGCATAGCGATTGAATGGAACGTTTTATGACGTCATGTATATATGTTATATGTATTGAAATTGGTATTTCAGTTTCATGACCCAAACAAAAAAAAAAGTCAAAACAAGTTTGCGCACCGACATGATATTGCTCTTGCGTTATAATCATGGACACATATAGAACACGTAACACAAGCATGACTTTGACTCGTTGCTGCTGTCCATTATTCAACTCTTTTTAAGTCTCAAAACTGATTGTATGGGCTTTTTAGATTTTGTCAACCTTCGTTACTTAGAAACTACCATTTCTCTATCATTTTTAGTAGTATCTGGTTACCTGGAATCGCATGGACTCTATCATATTATATGCCAAGATATAAACTTACTTTATTGTAATTGGTGTACGTATTTTTGGCCGTATACCTAAAGATATAGATGAACAGCACATAAAATGTGATCACCCATGATGTATATCAATTGTATTACACAGTTTTGTGTTCATATCCACTTTCAAGATGCAGATGTTAAATTTAAACACACACACTAGGTGAGTCATTCGGACTAATCCGTTGTGTTTGCGATTAGGGGTGATGTTATTGATGATTTTGAAACTGGTACCGGTTAGTGTGGACTCACGAAAAATATTTACATTTAAAAAAAAATACAAAACCGAAAAAAAAGAAGTGAAGATAATATGATCAGAGGATAACAAATATAGCATCTTTATTTGAGTAAAAAACAAAAAAAAAAAAACACATATATAACTGATGCTTCCAACCTCCATTATTGTTGTTTTTTCCCGTTTTTTACATGTTATAATTAATGCTTCCGTTCTCAATTATTGTTGATTTTCTTCTTTATAATCCGATGTGCTAATAATCTCTTCTAGTTTTAATTATTGGTTTAATAACTCGGTTTGCTTTTCACCTTTTTGGTTCCATATATGACGTTAACACTCACATCATACGCATTCAAACACAAAAAAAAAAAAGATATTCCATTCCGATTGTACTTTGAACTTCAAAGATCAAAGTTATTATTCTTGCAATTTCTTTTTCATTTATTCTTCTAAGTTCCATCTATCTATCTCTAAAGTCCAGCCCAAGACCGATAATCTTGAGATATTTCGGCCGGAAATCGTTTATTTTTTCAGGAAAAGGTTATCGTCGTTGGTTTGATTTGATAATATGTTGGTTTGATTCGACTTTTTAGAGCTAAAACCACATTATACAAAATAAATTGAAACAATCTTTCAGTTAGTAGTATGACCAGAGGCAGAGAGAGTCTAGAAACACCGAAACTTTATGCACACGTGGACGGTGTTACCTGCCGTTAATATTATAATGTAAATATTATACTACCTCTGAGGACACGTAGATCCATTTCAAAGATTCTGTAAATTGATTATCAAGATCCCACCTACACGGCTACATCTAGACAAAATCCAACATATATGTTACAAAATCTAAACAAAACTGTTATGAAAAATAATACTATATCTATACTAAGTTACTAACTACTACAGTATATTAACTTTAGTTAAAACAAATTTGATATTTCCAAGAGTCTAGCAACTAAAAACAGAAGGCCGATTATCCTTGTACGAAGCAGGAAATCGAATACCTTTGATGCCAATGCTCTAATTTTCACAGATGTAAAATTGAAGATAAATATTTAATAAAACTAGATAATATCGCTGAGAACTTCGAAATTCATTGAACCCAAACTTCAGCACCATCTGTCAAGAAAACCATTTTCTGATCTCAATCTTTTACCCTTTTTTTTTTTGGTTTTAAAGGGATCTTTCAAGATGCCCCAAAAAAAAAAAAGAATGTAGAGAAAGAAAAAGAAATAAAAGAGTCTAATCGAAGTAGGTTTAGGTAAGAAAGTAATTTATACTTACACCTTTTGATAATGAGTTCGTCAAACAGAACCTAAAAAGATTGCCCACACCTACCCATCCTTTTCCATGTTTGGTTTTCTAATAATATACGGCAATTTAATCCAATTATGATATTTTGAATACGATTACGATATTTCCAAATCTATTATCTAAATGGATTTTATGGGAGAACATTATTTAAATTGAACCCCGTATTTAAATGTAGACTGACGCATGTTGTCAAGATCTCCGATGCGGCTAAGAAATTATTTAATTATAACAGATAGTATTAGTGCCTTCGATTTTCCTTAAACTAAAATAGGTTAATCGTCGAGACATATAAAAATTACGCATAAAAGAAGAAATCATAACAATTTTTTTATACGGAAAAATATTTCAATCTTCAGTTTTGAATCCCATGGTGAATCCTTTATCGATTCGAAGTAATGTTTATTTTTGACATTCAAAGTCTAGTTTTGTCAAAAATAACAAAATGGAAGGATGATATAGTTTTTGCATACAAAAATACATGATTCTATAAAATTTTGTAATGGCATTAACAAATTGAGAAATTGTTAAAAATGCCCCTTTTTCAATACCCCTTTTCAAAAATGCCCCTTTTGAGAGTCCATTTTTAAGTTTGCCCTCTTTTAATTTTAATTGACCATTTTACCCTTATTTGAAACAAAATTAGGTCCACAAAATACAAAATATTTTTTGGCGGGAAAAGTGATCCCGCAATTTTCCCGCCAAAAATTTTTTTTTGCGGGAAAAGTGATTCCGCAATTTTTTTGCCGAAATTTTTTTGGCGGGAAAAATTTACAAGGTATTTTAAAGGTTTTACGGAGTATTTACAAGTGTATTGTAAGGTTTTACAATGTATTTTAAAAGGTTTTACAAGGTACTTATAAGGTTTTATAAGGTATTTATAACTTGTAAAACCTTATAAAAAACTTGTAAAACCTTATAACTTGTAAAACCTTATAAAATAGCTTGTAAAATCTTATAATATCTTATAAATACTTTATAAATACGTTGTAAAACCTTTTAAAATACATTGTAAAACCTTATAAATACCCTGTAAAAACCCTTTAAAATACCTTATAAATTTTTCCCGCTAAAAATTTAACGCCAAAAAATTTGCGGAATCACTTTTCCCGCAAAAAAAAAATTTTTGCGGGAAAATTTTTTGGCGGGAAAAAATTTTACGGGAAAATTTTACAAGGTATTTTAAAGGTTTTACAAATTTTTACAAGTGTTTTGGCGGGAAAAATTGGAAGATCACTTTTCCTGCCAAAAAATATTTTATATTTTGTGGACCTAATTTTGTTATATTTCCTTATATATATATGATATCTTTTATTAAAAGAAGGGTAATTTAGTCATTTTGTACATAAAAGGGGTATTTTTAAAAATGGACATCCAAAGGGGGCATTTTTGAAAAAGGGTATTGAAAAAGGGGCATTTTTGTGAGTCTCCCAATTCCAGTTGATGATTGTATTAGGGTTTGCCTACACATATTTATATGATTTATTTTGGCAATTTGCTAATCAGAAATATAAATACTTCAAAAGTTCAAAGCATGTATTAAAATCTTGGATTGAACATTTAAATTTTGGACCATTCGAGTAAGCTTTGGTTTTCCTAAAAAATAAAGATTTTGTTTGTAGAGAAAAATCAAGTTTTTTAGGACATCAAATTTGAATACAAAATAAAAAAAATCAATTGAGAAAAAAAAAAAAAGAGAAAAAAAAAATAAATAAAAAAAATCAAATCTTTTACTTTAATTAAAGATTCAAATATGTTTGTCTTTATGGATACTGCAATCTCGTTATTTATCTTCGGAAAGTAGTAAAACTACCTTTGACAAAAAAAAGAAAGTAGTAAAACTACGTTTTTTTCTGTTCATCCAAAACCTTTTTTGCCGATATGACATGGAATTAAATACTACTATTTATGAATATTTAATTGATTTAATCTGCAATTTGGACATGTCTTATATAAGTATAGATGTGTATGTGTGTGTCTCTATTATAACTTGGATCAGATTCTTCTTCTTCTCTAAACAACAACAAAATTTCTTCCCTCTGTCTTTCACAACTTTCCTCTTTCTCTAAAGACAAAACTCAAAATCAAAACAAAATGACTCGCTCCTCTAGATTCCTTGGTACGGCGTCGCCTCCACCGCCGGAAGAAATCCTCGCCGCCGAAACCGACATGGTTGTGATTCTCTCAGCCCTTCTCTGCGCTCTCATATGCGTAGCCGGCTTAGCCGCTGTAGCTCGCTGCGCTTGGCTCCGCCGTCTCACCGGCGTTAATTCCGCCGCCGTCGGAGAATCACCGCCGCCGAACAAAGGCCTCAAGAAAAAAGCACTTCAAGCTCTCCCTAAATCAACTTACACCGCCTCTGCTTCTACCGCCACCGCCGCAGATGATCTACCGTGCTCTTCCGGCGGAGACGGAGATTCATCCACCGAGTGTGCAATATGCATAACGGAATTTTCCGACGGCGACGAGATCAGGATCTTACCGCTGTGTAGTCACGCCTTCCACGTGGCGTGTATAGATAAATGGTTGACTTCACGGTCGTCGTGTCCTTCTTGTCGTCGGATATTGGTGCCGGTGAAGTGTGATAGGTGTGGCCACCATGCTTCCACGGCGGAGACTCAGATCAAAGATCAACCTCCTCATCACCAACATCCTTCACAGTTCACTTCCGCCATTATTCCTGCTTTTCTTCCTTGAGATTTTCACTTTATTTATTTTTATAATTTGCTAAAAATATCGGCATGATTAAAGAAAAGTAAAGTTCTAATTAATTAGGAATTAGTGTGATCTTTAGTTACTTCGATTTTTCTCCACTGTAATCCACTGTTATGAATTAATCAGATGAAAATTTCGAAGTTCGAGTTGTTAAATTTCTTTCCAAGAATTCACAATTCGATAAGAAATTATATTCTTACTAAAAAAATTTCGAAAAATATACTATAGAATGGTTTAAATGATTGGACAACCAGAGCACTAAGAAAAGAGTCGGTCATGTGAACTCGTTTCAGAGCAAGAAAAAAAAACTAATTATATATATTTTTGGAACTGGAAAGTATTTATTTCCTTAATTTCTTGTAATGTTTTGCAAATATTTGGCGATCAATTTGGCGTTATCTTTTTCCGACAGACGAACACACTAAGTAAAATAGATAATAAAGCAAAATAAAATTTTGTTAGCGATGTTATTTATTTTATTTACTAAAAAGGTAACAAAAACGTAAGTATAAAACTAAGCAATTCTTTTTTGATTACTAGTCAGAATTAGGAAAATTGGCACACTGTAAGTCCAATTTAGTAGTATTAAGTTTTGGCGAAATGCTAGTCTGTATCGATTGTAATATTTAACTGTAGTTATACGAAGAAGATGGTCATTTCCTATACAAAATGAATTAAATCATGGTAAATGTGTGTGCGTACTTAAAGTCTCCCTTATTTTCAGTCACAAGTCAAAGAAAGCATGTATCATGTATGGATGGCCTCATCTCCATTACCCGCAAATAAGGATGACTCAGTCTCATTTCCATCCAACAATATCCGAATGCATATATAACGTATTATTTTTTTTTTTTTTTAATTATGCATATATAAATAATTGAGATAATTATCTATCCATGTTATTTTAAAAACTTAATAATTTTGACAAATTTATGATAATATGAAAAACGCATGTCAATCGTTTGGATATTGATATCTATAGTGTTAAATAATCGTCTACCAAGTATATTAATCAACCATTAAAAATTACAAGACTACAGTTTATAAGAATCTATATTATTTTTGAATTAGATATATGAATTTATGTATATCGACCACATATAATATAAGTAACAGATGTATTTTATTTTATTTTAAAATAAAATTAATATATCTAACAAAATATCCCAGGAATCCTACAAAAAAAAAAAAATTCCAGGAATACTCCATGTAAAATAAATATAAATTATTAAATTTGATGAAAATGAACTATGTTAGGTTCCACAACAAGTTTCTATAATAAAATTTCAAAGCGACAAAAAAAAAAAAGGTCACTTTCATCACTATAGCAATTCAAATTATTTTCTTACATTTACATTTATGGTATCACCTAGTCATTAGCGGCCGATTTTAAAAAGTTTTTGGTTATTTATTATGCAAGTTGATGAGGATTAACTTAAAACAAACATTTATCGATTTAACAAAATATCTCAAAATATCTAAGAAGAGTACTCCTTGTTAAACAGACATACATTTGACAATAATTAATTTTGTTAGGTTCCTTTTCACCATTATAGTAATTCGATTATTTTGGTTTCCTTAGATTTATACTTATAGATTCACAAACATCTATGAATTTAACAAAATATCTCAAAATATCTAAAAAGTACTCATTTTTTTTTTAAGTACTCATTCATTTTAGACAAAACATAAATTTGACGGTAATTAATTTTGTTAGGTCCTTTTTCACCACTATAGTAATTCAATTATTTTGGTTTAAGTTCATTCTTATAGATTTACAAACATTTATGGATTTGACAAAATATCTCAAAATATCTTAAAAGTACACATCCATGTTAAACAAACCATAAATTTGACGGTAATTAATTTTGTTAGGTCCCTTTTCATCATTATAGTAATTCATTTATTTGGCTTATATTTATACTAATAGTTATTATCTTTTGGAATTATGTTAAAATAGATATTTGTGTCATACTCTAACTAATTAATTTCGAACTTACATATCGACAAATTAACAATATATATATATATATATATATATATATATTTCATTATTTGTTTTGTCTTAAATGTTTTTCAATTTCTGATAACAAAAATATCTAAATTTACTCCATGTTAAAACAAGCATAAATTTGACGGTGATAAATTTTGTTAGGTCTCTTTTCACCATTTTAGCAATTCAATTTTTGACTTTGTCTCTAACTATTTCGGTACTTAGATTTCGACCAATTAAGTTAAATTCATTCTTTTTTATTTGTCTTAATAATTTGAAAATTCTTATTTAGACTATCGAATGCTACTAGACTACTATCATTTATTTTTAATTTTTAAATATGGGGAATAAAATAAAAGTGAATAAAGGGGAAAAGGTGGAGAAAGAGGAATATTGAAGCGAAACGATAAACGTACCACCAAACACTTATAGAGAGACACTAGAAACGCATGACAAGCCCAAGTATCATCCACCTTTCAGTTTCACTTAATGGAATCTTATGCCTTATCTCTTTCTTCTCTTTTTCTCCATATGTTTTATTAAATTGCACCCAAGAGGCAAAAAAGTGATACAAAAATTTCGGCCAAAACTTTTCATCTTTTTAACTTCGCTTTTTACATTTTCTGTCTTCTAATAATAGCTCAACGTTATCCAACTTTTCTTTTGTATTTTCTTGTTAAGACCGAACACTACCATAGACGAGTCCATTGATTGATTTTAAGGTCGATGTATTCACTTGGTTACCGTTGAGTTTATTACAAGTTTTGAAATTATTGCACGCTTGGATTCGTGAAATCCTGTTTTTTAAAACGTTATACAGCAATATATGCAGAAAAACTTATCTAGTTCAGGAGCTTATTATGAGCACAAAGAAATTAGAACACTGGAAAAGTTGATAAGACATGTTTGCCGTTGATTTTATTAGCTTCAAACTCAAGTAGTCCCTCGCACTTTTTCTTAAAACATATTATCATTTAGTTTTTGGCGTATCATGTGTCTAGTGTAAAGCGAAATTTGGATTTCAAGAAAATTTACTTCTTAGATGATGATCATTTTCAGGAATATATAAATCTAATCAACTTATCAATTAAGAAGAATAAAAGAAAGTTAGATAGAGAGAATGGTCCGAGGTTTAACAACTAGTTCTCTCTTTTTTTCCTTTTCCTTTTAATTAAATCAATAATAATTTTCCATTACAGGTACTTTCCTCCTAACTATCTTTTGCCCTCACAGTCAATAAAGTGATATATTTCAAAGATTCAATCCTTCATCTCTTAATCTTCCCTAACCTTTTTTCCTACTTATTTCTAATGTTCACATTATATTTGTCACTTTTAAGTTACTACCACTTTTTGCCAGCCTCATCATTGAAAGTTGGCGATCCTATACCCAAAATATAACCTTTTCACCATATTAATCACAGCCTCTGCTTTCGTAAAAGATAAAATCAAGTTTGGAGTATATATATGTTTAATGAAGTTAATAAAAGAAGAACCAAAACTAGATTCAATCGATTTGTATGAGGTTGATCATAAGATGCGTTACTTTTCATACATAAAAGGATAAATTGTTTTGTACAAGTGGCCTACTAAGATCACGTTTTCTATTCCAACAAAAATGATTTACTCTGTATGGGCTGGGCCATTGCTAAACAGTTATACCTGAAGGAATCACCTGAAGAAATTAAGAGTAAATTAGGTCTAAAATAATGCAACCCAGATCCAGCCCAATAAAGACTGTATGGGCTTGTATGTTTTTTTCTTCCACAGAATGAAGGGAGAGAGAGAGGGATATGGGGTTTCTGATGTTGAACAAAGTTTTGCTTCTTTCATTGGTTCGCATGTGAAGTCACATGTACACAGATGCTTTTGAACAACTTTGTAAACACACACACATAAAAGAAAGACCATGTCTCGTGACGATTATACAGACAAAATAAAACAAAAAAAAGTTGCATTATTACAAGGGAGTTTTAATTAACCAATTTACTCTTTAGACAAAACCACGTTCATGGCCAACTCATGTCATATCTCTCCTCTAAACATCAAAGCCATCACATCACATCTCTATCCATCCATATACACAGATGCTTTTAGTTGTGAGTGTCTTAAGTTGCAAACCAAAGAAACAAAACCAGAGACGATAGACTAAACACAAAGTGGTAAGAGCTTAAAAGAAAACCCTCAATCTACAAGGGACATGGTTCGGTTCTGTTTCGGGATGGGCTCTAAGCAAGAACTGATATGTGGAGAGACATGAATGAAACAATGTTGTGCCAATGATACATGCGAATAGTGAAGAAAGAAACAAACAAAGAATGAATAGTGAAACATCTACAGTACTTGGAGTTGCAAACTTGCAATGCAAATCAATGCATTGTCGTGTGAATATAGCTGGATTTGTTTGTCACTTGTGATGTCAACAGCTTTAACAGAATTACCTGAAAAAGGAGGGAAAAAACAAAACATGTGTTATTGTTATTTGTATAATACAGAGTGTGAATCTTGATTTTTGAGTTTGGGAATGAAAGAAAAGTGTTACCTGATTTAGGGTCAGAGACATTATCAGCTTCAGCTGTGTGTGTTATACAATCTCCATGCTGCTCTGTTTTCTCTTGTTGGATTTGGAGAAGAAGCACATCTGGACCCAGCTCTTCTTTGGCTTAACCATTAGAGATTTCGCATTTCTCGTCTCCACAAGATCATTCATGTATTGAACAACGGCCTGTACGTATGATGAATTCATCCGTGAGTGAGTACCATTTAGAATCTAGACACATGATGACAAAACTAGAGAGGAGAGACAGAGAAAGAACCTGAGGGCCCTTTTCGGCTATATCACGAGGAGGAACTTGTAGTGGATTCTCCTGAGCACGAAACACACGCAACTTTGTAAGCATTTTGAAGGAGTCAGGTAGAACACGGATCTGATTATTGCTTATATCAAGTTCTTCAAGCATCTCAAGGTTGCCTATTGATCTCGGGAGCGATATCATGTCAGCGAAGTTGTTTCCAATATTCAGCTTCACAAGCGTAGTGGCAAAACACAAACTCTCTGGCACTGACTCGAGCTCGTTGAAACTGACATCCAGCTCTTTGAGGTTAGCTAAAGAAGACATCGTCGTAGGTAACTGTCTGATGTTATTGTAACGGACAGACAAGATCTCTAATGTAGTAATCTTCCCAATAGCTTCAGGAAGAGCCTTGAGTTTATTATAATCTGCACGGAGTTCTTTCAGAGAAGAACATCCACCAATAGAATATGGGATCTCTTCGATATCATTTGTCTCAACGTCGAGCTTCTTTAGACTCACAAGAGAACCGATGGATTCAGGGAGAATCGGGAGGTTGTTACAGCTCAAATCAAGCTCCTCGAGTCGCACCAATCTGCTAAACGCTGAAGGCAGCAACGATAACTGGTTGCTACCAAGATTGAGGTAAACCAAGTTCAACAATTCTCCAATAGACTCAGGAAGCTGACCGATTCTGTTAGAATGCAAATCGAGCTTTGTCAAGGAAGAAAGTCCTCCTATAGTGTTTGGCAACACCACAATGTGATTCTCAGACAAATCAAGCGAAGTTAAACTCGATAACTTGCCAAGAGAATCCGGAAGCCACTCGACTTGATCCGTTAACTTGTTCTGTAGATTTATCTCTGGAGTAGCTTTCTTAGCTGATACCTCAATCAAACTAGCAAGTTTTATCAAACTCAGCTTCTCTCCATCATTGCCTACATATACCAAACGATTCACACTACAGTTACTAACATAATCTATTGCAAACCAAACAGCTCAATCTCTAGTTCTATCTAAAGGTTCAAACTTTATACAATTCTAATCCCTACACTTTCCATAACTGGAGAATCCTAATTAGTTCGAGTACCAGATGAGTAACCTAGAGCTTTGAATCAATGGACTTAAGAGAAGAGAAGAGTTAACTCACCGGCGAATTTCCCGGCGGTAAGTGTTGAATCGAGAATCTGGGGTGGTTTTCGTGGAGCTGCAAAACCATCACTGTAGAGAGAAGGCTTAGCCTTTGTGACGACGAAGCTATCGTCTCGTGAAACCATATCCTTGGGACGAACAGGAGCCTTCTCAGAAAAATTCAAACTTGACTGAGAATCAGAACGAACAGCCGTCGTTGTAGTCGCCGGAGCCAGCGGAGGACGAGACGAAACAGAGCCGTTAGAGGAAGGAGAAGCAATGCAATTAGAAGCTCTCTGAATGAAATCATCGAACAAAGCGTGAATACTTTCCAGATCGAGAAGCTTTGAAGCTTCTCGTTTCTGTTCTTTGCTACGAAACTGAACATAACCTTTCTTCATTTCTTGCAACACCATGAGAAGCTCACCAGGAACTTCAGAGCTTTTCCTCTGTTTAGCAATGGCTTCTAAACAAGCTTGATCTTCTTTCTCAACGTTATCAATCAAACCCTTGGCAGCTTCAACTTCGTCAATTCCCGGTCTTGGTGGTAGAGATCTGTGAATTCTCATGATTTCTTCAACTACTTGCTCTGTTGAATCCAAACGCTTATCCATTTGTATCAAATCCATTACAAAGTGGAATTGGAAGAAACGAAAAGATAATAAAAGAAACCCTTTTTTTGTTTGCTCAAAGTGTCGATTTTTAAGTGAAAGAGGAAAGAGAGAAGAGTTTTAAGTAGAAACCCAGAGGTTCTTGTTTCTTCTCATAATAAAGACAGCTGTTTCCATCACTCTCTGTCTCTTCTCTTCTCTCTATCTGTATCTATTATCTCTGTTAATTCTCTCTTCTTCTTCTTCTTCTTCTGCTTCCTCAGTTCTTCAACAAATAATTGATTACTTTTTTAATATTGTCATTTGTCACTAATCAAACTACAATAATGATAATTAATCTTTTAATTTCCTTGTTATACAGATTTTTTATTTCTTAATTAACATTATCATTTGGGTTTTTTTTTTTTTTAATTTAAAAAATCCGACGGAAATAACGTGAACCGTGGGATGGTGACCTATTGCTTATCTGTGGATTTGTATATCACGTTATTCCCATTTTCTCCCTATACTATACACTCTCGTTATCGTATTTTTTTACGTATTTTGACCGTATTTGTGGATATTATCAGCTGATGTTTTCGATAAGACAAAAAATAGTGTCCATATAAGATATATTAAGCGAGCTAGTGCAATAGATTCTGCGGAGATCAATGCCTATTTCCATAGTACTATAAGATAAAATAGTGTTCGTGACCGTTAGATTTTTATTTTTAAGCTTTGTGGTTCTTATATTGAAAATAAACATTACTTGGAAGTTGGAATGTTTTAGGGATCATCAAAGAAGGTGGAGCATTATTATTTTTGTGAAGAAAAAATGAAGCATTAAAACAACTACTTTTTGCTATATTAGTTTGTTTTTGTCAAAAAAATAATACTCCCTTTGTTCCATTTTATTTGTAGTTTTAAGCTTTTTTTTTATTCCAATTTGTTTGTTTTTCTCATATATCTATGCAAAATTTTACTTATTCCAACAATTTATATTTTCTTAGTAATTAATTTAAATTCGAAAATAATTAATAAATTTTGGTCAAAGAAATCCAAAGGTCCAAATACATAACAATCGACAAAAGCATATGTAGTCAAAGCATTGTTTAATTATTTATCTTAATTATCTAATTAATGATTTTTAACCAAAATTAAATTCCTTAATAAGCGTGTTTTTAGTTAAAACTACAAACAATATGGGACAGAGGGAGTACTCTAGTACTAGTAATCAAATTATTTCCTAGACATAATAAAGAAATAAATAATGTTTGACAAAAAGAAAAATTAAAACAGTTTGCCAAAAAAAAGATAGGTAAAACGCCATGTGTGAGATGGGACACGTGTCGGGGATATGGTCGATGATGTGTTGTCCTTTAACCTGTATCCAACTGTCACATTCATGGCCCCCACTTGCATATGCATTTGCATATCTGGGAGATTTATAAAAAAAAATTTAAGTAAAAACAAAAAACTTTTATTTCAGAATTTATGGATGAATTTCTCATCTAAAATTATTTAGTATATAAAATAGACATATTTAATGTATAATTTTATTCGAAAGGCCTAAAATTAGCTTCTTCCTTTTAAAAAAATTCTTTTACCTTTTCCCTTTGTAATATTAAAATATATACTATGATTTATAATATCTGAATAATCAGTCATAAGTTATATTCTAGTTGTACATATTCTTCTAAAGAAAACGAGTAGTTTAGGAATTTAGTGTGTCAGTATTCAGTAAATCTGATCCATTTTCATCATCTTTTATTTAAGTGGCTTGACACAACAACGTCGGATCTATACTGACAATAATTACAATTTGTTTTGATATTAACTGATTGAAATCTCATAGTTATAGGAAATTCCATTAAAGATAAAACAAAAAATATATTCATTGCACTTTTCAGTGGTCGCAACGCAGTGCAATTTTCCCTATATAAAACAAGAATTCTACATGTTATCGAAGATTTGATCATCATTCCAAATTTTTACTATAAGCACAAATTTCACTTGAACATGTATGAACCTTAAAAATTTTAAGAAGTCCTATTTTCACAATACATTTCCGAAAAGTACACTTTATAATTAACTTTAAAAACTCTTTTAAATCTATATCGTTGATTAGAAAAGTTGAACATATCTAAATTAAGTCACACAAAGGAAAAAAAAACAAAGATAAATTGCCGACACCAAGAAAAGAAGATAAAATGCCGGAACTTTTATTTCTTTATTGTAAAGTTCAATCTTTTATTTAAGGCATAGTTCAATCTTATTGACTACAAGTTTTTAATTACATTCATCGTTTCAAATTTTAAGAATTGTTAGAAGCATAATTGGGGTTACTTTTGGGAAAGCTTTTATGAAGTCTTTTGAAAATTTCAACCATGTGGGAGTTTCAATTTTTGTGGTCGCACGCATTGCTTTACTTTATTGAACGACGTCATTTGTTCAAGGCCCCTTCACGCCGTCATTTGTGCAATTTTTCTGACATAATCAAAGTCCTAAAAGCTTCACAGCCGTTTCCTCTGAAAAATCTGTGACCATAGTTTCAAAAGCCTCTAGAAGCCCTGGAGGGTGTCTTAATGGCTCGGCAGCTTCAAGATCAGAAAATGTCTTATAGATTTATAGAAACCCATTTTTATATTATAAGACTACATAATACATTATTGTATAAATCATGTTCACTGAATATATATGTTAAGGCATCATCTGAAAATCAAATCTTAAAGGGACTTTTGTCGTAGCTAGTTTTACCATTAGAGCTACAATTTTGAACAATACCCGTACTCAATTCCAACTGCAATATTAAGAAATAAACGAATCAATGCATCTTAACTTGTTCAATGCTAAAGATCAAATCTCATTCTGGTCCATCAATGTCTAACTGAATCAGGGGACAATCGACAATTAACTAAATGACCTGAGCCTTCCAACTATTTCCTCAATCACTCTTACCTTGCTGAGATCCAATCTCCTGTAAGTAATGCTCTGCATCCAGAGCTGCCATGCACCCTACACAATCAATCAAACGGAGTTGCAATGATGATTATTACTCTATAAACAGAGCTAAACAGAGTGAGAACTGAACATTGTGATAACAAGACTCTTTAGTCTTAAAGACTGTTAGTTAGATGAATCAAAGATCTCTACTAAGCAATGGAACGACACACTCAAGGAAGACTACAAACTCCAACACAAAAACCTTGGCTTGCATCAATCGTAAATTGAACCACATGATATAGAAGCAACTAAACCTCAACAACTTGACAAGCCATAGGGTTGCAGAGCTGCTTAAAAAGGTACTTCCTTTGAAAAGATCGTTCCAAAATCAGACATTGCACACAAATTCAAGTAGTTCTAACTTCTAAGTAGATAAAAACACAGTTGCCCACATAACTAAAATAGCTAACTAAAGCAGTTTCTTTCAGAGAAAGTAGAGAACTAACCAGTTCCTGCAGCAGTGACTGCTTGCCTATACTTCTTATCCTGAACATCACCAGCAGCGAAAACTCCGGGAACGCTAGTCTGTGTAGTACCAGGCTTCGTCACAACATAACCATCCGAATCTAACTCAACACCACCATCTAAAAACTTGGTAGCTGGCTCATGACCAATAGCAAAGAACAATCCAGAAACTTTCAAATCAGAAACATCTCCAGTAACCACATTCTTCACTTTCAATCCTCCAAGCACATCTCTTTCTCCATCTCCATAGGCTTCCACAACCGAAGAGTTCCAAATCACATCAATCTTAGGGTTAGACAAAGCTCGCTGCTGCATAATCTTAGACGCTCTAAAAGCATCTCTCCTATGGATTATATACACTTTTGATCCATATTTGGTGAGAAAGTTTGCTTCTTCCATTGCTGAATCGCCTCCACCGATAACCGCAAGAGGTTTGTTCCGGAAAATCGGAGCAGCTCCGTCGCAAACAGCACAAGCTGAGATTCCACGGTTCCAGAAACCTCCGGAACCTTCACCCGAGCCAACGAAGTTAAGCCGCTTAGCCACAGCTCCAGTAGCGAGAATAACAGCGTCAGCGAGAACGGTTCTTGAATCTGTGAATAGCTTAAACGGTTTCGAAGAGAAATCAACTTTCGTCACCGTCTCTGTGAAGATCGTAGTACCGAATCGCTCTGATTGTTTACGGAATTTGTCAGTGAGCTCTGCTCCGAGAATACCTTCCGGAAATCCGGGGAAGTTCTCGACGTCGGTGGTGGTTGTTAGTTGACCGCCGGGAGCGATGTTGTTAGCCATCCATCCTTCGAAGAGAAGAGGTTTGAGTTCAGCCCTAGCCGCGTAAATCGCCGCCGTGTGCGCCGCTGGGCCACTACCTACGATACAGAGCCTTGTGTTATGAGTTTCGAGGCCATTCATGACGGCGGATGAAGAAACCGTGGCGGAGGCGAGAGACGGCGGTTGAGAGAGAGTGGATTCACCACCAAGCCGTGCAAAGCTTCGCGCTTTGCTTATCAAACACTTTAAACGAGTCATACAATTCATTGGGAGCGAATTTACTTACACAAAGACAAAACCTTTTGATTTTGTGTTGTTTTGTTTCTCAACTTTGATGTCAAAACAGGATTTTTATTTTACTACAATATTTGGGTTTTAAGCTTGCATAAATATTGTCAAGCTTGGGAATTTGGGCGATACAGTAACACAAGAATGGAATGACTTGGAGATCAAGTAGTTTTCTTACATATCCTCCAAACCAGAATGATTCTTGCAAATTGAATCATTCTATAGAGGTCGACAAAATAAACTTCAGGAATATAATCATAATTGATTGCTATTTCTTTCTTTATTGACTTTTTAATGGAATCAAAATAACATAAGAGAGAAATTTAGAAGGAGAGAGGAACTAAGAAACAGTGTACACAAAAAGCCTGTGAAACTGGCTCAGGACACACAAAAGACAAATGCCTCAAAGACAATATGAGCTTAGAGCTTCCTTTAACCAGAAACTCAAAGGAAAGCATCCTTCTCAAGCAGCTTCACCACCTCGAGCTGACTGTTGAGCTTGGCTACATCAATTGGTGTCTTCTCGTCTAGGTTTTGCAGAGTGCTGCAACCACACACACCAACCAAAGCATATATAATTAAAGTCCTGAAAAAGTGTTTAATGGAGTTGTTTCTTTATAAGTACTGTGTTGTGAAACTTACACTGCAGCACCATTCTCCAGGAGAAGGCTTACACACTCTTTCCTCCCGTAACCAGCAGCATAATGCAGAGGTGTGTTCTTGTTTTTGTCAACCGCGTTAACACTTGCTCCAGCATCGATAAGAACTTGAGCACATTTCAACTGTTGATACGGCACAACAGGGTTAAACTCGGTTCAATCCATAGTCATAAGCAAAATCTTAAGTATGCAAGTAATCGCCAATGCCATCTCATTTTTCTTTCACCATATATTTGAACATGCTGCAATTAATTGTGTCATGAAACTCGTAGGTGTAGTAGACTGGTTACTTTTCTACCAAAGTAAATGATGATGATAAAGATTCTTAACTTCACAGCTAGTGAAAAAAAAGAACCACCTAAATCCGAATATTTGATTGCCCTGAATTGATAAGAAAATTGCATACCTCGCCGTATCCACAAGCAAAATGCAATGCTGTCCTTCCTTCAGAATCTTCTTCATCTTTGTTACCACCCGATGCCAAGGCAGCTTTCAAACCCTAATGAAGAAACGAATAAATCCAATAACGAATTCAACAAAACAAAATTTCGAACACCTAATACCTCAAGCAACACACAAATGATAAATTCCACATGGTCAAGCATATGAACGTTTAAAAAAGTAGGAAGCAGTCTACTAACCTCAACATCACCAAGACTTGCAGTTTGATGAACAATAGACTCTTCTTCTTCACCTTCTTCTGCTGCCTCAGGTTCAGCTGAAACAGTCTGGTCCGGTAAGCCAGCAACAGGCATACCCATTGCTTCACCCAGCTTTTTCAGAACTTCTGGATCATTCCAGTACCTAATACCAAATAAAAATTCTTCCTCCATAAGAAAACAACCATAAGCAGAAACAAACTACACAATTTCTATAAAAACATTGAAAAAAGTTTGTATCACTAACTTCATCATGGCAGGAGGACCACCAGCATCAATCTCATCTAGTATAGGTTTCAACTCTGGATCTTCTTTCATCCGCGCCATACGCTCAGTAAAGTGTTCTGCTGTTTCAGGATTCGAAAAAGCATCCAAAAAAGGAGACATTTGTGGATCCTGTAGGCGAAAGAAAAAACCCAGATTCAACGAGATTCATTCAAAGCCACACCTCGATAACCAACCAAACTACCGAAAAGAAATCTAGATGGAAAAAACACTTCAATTCCTAACCTGCACTAAGGCGGTACCAAGTTTCTCCGCCATTGTCTTAAATTCAGGGTTATGCATAACTTGTTGCATTGTGTTGACATACTGTTGTGGATCAAAGTTAGGGAAACCACCATCCTGACCAGCGTTTGGAATAGATCTCTGAAGCTGCTCAGCCAATTGGTTAAAGGCAGGATCTTTAGCTATTTGCTCAGCCATTTCTCTGATGCTTGGATCCTAAAAAAAACCATTAAAAACACCCTTCAATAATAAAAAAAAAAAAAAAACTCAAAGAAGATAACTTTTCAATTGTGGTAACAACAAAGGTCACTTACGTTGAGGATACCAGCCATATTAGAGAAATCAAAAGCATTGAAATTCAAGCCAGGCATAGCTGGTGAAGGTGAACTCCCAGAAGCTGATTCCGGCTTAGAACTCTTATTCTCCTCCGTCGATTTGGGTTTTTCATCTACAATAAACAAATTACAATCAACCAATAACCAAATCTGACTAGAAACGATTCAATCAGAGATAAACGATTCAACAATATGGCAGATCAGATTTTATATATATGAAGGAGACTTGAGAAAAACTGGGTAAAATAAAACAATTACCTGAAGGAGGAGGATTTTTCTCTGAATTGGAAGCCATTAAATATGACTAAAACCCTAAAAAAACACAATTTTGATTCAGCAAAAGTATAGGAATGGTGTAAAACAAGATTCAATGAGATTAACCGAAGAAGAAGATAAGGAAATCGAAGCAGGACCTATCAGAAAGAGATGAGTAGAAAACGAAGAAGAAGCAGAAGAAATTTACCCGAGAAGACAATGTTGTGGTGGCAAACGCTCACGAAACTTGAAATACAGATAATCTTTTCTTTTTTTTTTTAATATGACGACAGAGAAAATTAATTTATATATAAGTGTGTTGATGAATTATTATTATCAGCTGGATTTTGGATTTTGGATTGAGAAGAAGACGAGGCACAACAGCCACTGCTTCCCATTGAACTTTGAACCTAAAAAGCTAAGATCAAATCATGTTGGCCCAAATAAGCCCTCAAGGCCCAAGCCCATGCGTTCGAATAATATTTTAATTTAAGATCCAATTATCCGTTAATGGATAAACACGCGTCACTTCTCGGAAGCAGCCTTTCATGGCAGCCACGCTTCCACTCTGTGCTGCTCTCCGATCTCCCGTCTCTTCCCGGAGATTCTCGCCGATTCACAAAACCAATGCTCATCTTCAGTATAATGTCTTCCTTTCACCGTTGACGTCACCATTGTTCGGTTCCGTCGCTATTCGCGGCAGAATTTTCCCGCGTTTACCGGCGGCGAAGCAGGAGATTGATCAGCAGGACGAGGTTGGATTTGATCAGCAGCCGTCTCAGGAGCTTGCGATAGCGTCGGCGTGTTTGGTTGGTGTTCTCACTGGAGTTAGTGTGGTTCTATTCAACAACTGTGTTCACTTGCTTCGAGACTTCTCCTGGGATGGGATTCCTGATCGTGGAGCTTCGTGGCTTAGAGAGGCACCGATCGGTTCCAATTGGTTGCGTGTTATCCTTGTTCCGACTATCGGCGGTTTGGTGGTGAGTGTGCTCAATCAGCTTCGAGAATCTGCTGGAGAATCCACCGTAGATTCTGATTCTAGTCTCGATCGCGTAAAAGCAGTGTTGCGTCCTTTCCTTAAGACTGTTGCCGCATGTGTGACGCTTGGGACTGGAAATTCTCTGGGGCCGGAAGGTCCTAGTGTTGAAATTGGAGCGTCAATCGCTAAAGGAGTGAATTCTCTGTTCAATAAAAGTCCTCAGACTGGCTTCTCACTTCTTGCCGCTGGCTCAGCGGCTGGAATTTCCTCTGGTTTGTTCATCTTCTATCGAATACAGTATCCTCTGATATTTGCTAATGTTGATTGATTTCGAAGTGTATGTTTGGTTTCTTCTGAGTTAGAAGTTAAGAGGACTTTGTTATATTTTGTCACAGGGTTCAATGCAGCTGTTGCTGGATGCTTCTTTGCAGTTGAATCCGTTTTGTGGCCTTCTTCATCTACCGATTCATCAACATCACTTCCAAACACAACTTCTATGGTTATTCTTAGTGCTGTCACTGCTTCTGTGGTGTCGGAAATCGGTCTCGGCTCTGAACCTGCGTTTAAGGTTCCTGACTATGACTTCCGCTCTCCTGGAGGTAATATACATTTCCATTCTTATGCTTTTTACGGAAGGGAACTAGAAACCAAACTTATGAGAGCTGGTCACTGATTTGCAGAACTTCCACTCTATCTTTTACTGGGCGCTCTGTGTGGCCTGGTCTCGTTGGCATTATCTCGTTGTACATCATCCATGACATCTGCTGTTGACAGTCTCAACAAGGATGTTGGGGTACCAAAGGCTGTATTTCCTGTAGTGGGTGGCTTAACTGTTGGTATCATAGCTTTGGTATACCCTGAAGTCTTATATTGGGGTTTTCAGAACGTGGATATTTTGTTGGAGAAACGTCCATTTGTGAAGGGCCTTTCAGCTGATCTTTTGCTTCAGCTGGTAGCGGTCAAGATAGCTGCAACCGCATGGTGTCGGGCTTCTGGACTTGTCGGTGGATACTATGCTCCTTCTCTCTTTATTGGCGGGGCAGCAGGAATGGCCTATGGAAAGTTTATTGGACTTGCTTTGGCTCAGAATCCTGAAATCAATCTCTCTATCCTGGAAGTGGCATCTCCACAAGCTTATGGTCTGGTACTGTTCTTATGTGGTCAATGTTTCAAAATTTTCGGGTTAACTGAGAAATGGATGCTAAACTTTTTGCAGCTTCATTGCCAATAATCCTGTTTGTCTCATTGTTCAACAGGTTGGAATGGCTGCTACACTTGCGGGGGTTTGTCAAGTTCCTCTTACAGCGGTACTACTGCTATTTGAACTTACACAGGATTATCGTATAGTGTTACCTCTACTGGGAGCTGTAGGCATGTCTTCATGGATTACATCTGGACAGTCAAAGAGACAAGAAACTAGAGAAACAAAAGAAACTAGGAAAAGAAAGAACCAAGAAGCTGTACAGTCTCTGACATCATCTGATGATGGATTATCAACGAATAACCTTTGTGAAGTTGAAAGTTCTCTTTGCCTTGATGATTCACTCAACCAAGCTGAGGAGCTGCCGAAGAGTATATTTGTTTCAGAAGCCATGCGAACAAGATTTGCCACAGTTATGATGAGCACTTCTTTGGAAGAGGCATTAACTCGTATGCTGATAGAGAAACAATCCTGCGCCTTGATTGTTGATCCTGACAATATCTTTCTCGGTATACTTACACTTTCAGACATTCAGGAATTCAGCAAAGCAAGAAAAGAAGGAAATAAAAGACCTAAGGTACGAAATTTGAATCGTCTGCTCTTGTCTAAAACCTCTGAAATAACTATTTCTTGTGGTAGCCTGATCATAAACTGAAGCATTCTTTGGCATAGGATATTTTTGTTAATGATATATGTTCGAGGAGTGGAGGAAAATGTAAAGTGCCATGGACTGTTACACCTGATATGGATCTTCTCGCTGCCCAAACAATCATGAACAAGCATGAAATTTCCCACGTTGCAGTCGTTTCAGGCAGCATTGATGCTCACAGAATACACCCTGTTGGGGTCCTAGATAGAGAATGTATCACTCTAACGCGCAGGTAAACCTGCATCTGTTTCCCCTTGGTTTAACTGTTTGTCCCCAGATCGCCTTTTCATATTTGATTTTTTAATGAACCTAACTGGCTAACCTAGTCTTCCATATGGCAAGAGTGTGTACTGTGTAGAGAGTCTGTGTTACTATAAATTGGGCTGCCAGGTTTCCCATATTGGATGTAGTTGAAGTTAAATTAGTTCAAAGAAATTTTACTTGCAACTTGTTGTTTGCTCATCAAAGGAAAGGAGTGAGTAGCAAAGTCCAGTTTGCTAGATTTTTTATTCTTAGAATTGTTATCTGGTCTAGAGTTAATACCAAAGTTATTGACCCAGCAAATAAGTTTCCTCAATTCATTTGAAACTTTTCTGCGTAGATTCTGCACTGGAGATGATACTGTTTTTTCTTAACTTTTTCTCTTGCTTGACCTGGCAGGGCTCTAGCGACCAGAATGTTCCTCCAAAATTCGCTGTACCCGTAAACGGGCTTGCTTTGTAACTCTTCTTTAGCGCTGACCAGGGTGATTTCAATCTGTTTCTTCTGTGAGGCTCGGGGCCAATCTTTTGTCCTTTGTATTAAGAGATTTGGGGAGAATGAGTTGGCTGGTGCGGCGTGGATATATGTCTACTCCATCTGTTGGTTGAAACGGTGGAAGCTCCAATATCTCACTTAAGTGTTGAGCAAAGGGAATCCAAACATGGAATGTGGTTCTGAGAACATCTTCAGAAATTTTTCTGAAACCAAAGATACTGTGCTCAGGTGATTCGTTACCATTTACAACTTATTTTTTTACAGATTGTTATTGTACCTTACTCAAGATTGTGTCTATTTTGTAAAGTGCTTTCTGACTTATATCATATTGAGAAAGTTTTGACTACTTGAAGACTAACAGTGTCGTCAACAAATGTAAGGGTTTCCTTGTCCACTATTTTGTATTTTGTAGAACACCAAAATTTATTGAAATCCAACATTGAAATGCCCTTATTCTGGTGTGTATCTCTCTTGGTGAGCCGCTAGGGCATGTTGACGACTAACTATATGGAGATTTTTCTCAAGAAAATTCCTAGAGAAAACAGTAGTCAGGCCATTGTGTTGGTTAAACAACCGTCCTAAAACCTTTTAGGTAAAGAAGAAGCAACCCCACATGGGTTGAATGACCTACCTAATCGATACTTACCTCCAGCATGGTATAGCTAGTACCCTCTGAACAGGCAAGGATACACATGCTATATAATCATTCGGGTGTGATTCCATTGATACCAGAAAATGGATCAAGCAAAGGCAAAAGTCTGTGTTACCGGGGCTTCAGGCTTCTTGGCTTCTTGGCTTGTGAAGAGGCTTCTGCTTGAGGGATATGAAGTTATTGGAACAGTCAGAGATCCAGGTTTTTTTATCCTTCTTGTTTCCTTTGTCTTGGTCCGTTTTGGTGCCTGTCAGTACTCAGTTAGTTTCATGTTTTGACAGGAAATGAGAAGAAATTCGCGCACCTATGGAAGTTGGAAGGGGCAAAGGAGAGACTGCGGCTGGTGAAGGCTGATTTAATGGAAGAAGGAAGTTTTGATAACGCCATAATGGGATGCCAAGGTGTTTTCCATACTGCTTCTCCTGTGCTCAAACCTACCTCTAATCCAGAGGCATGCCACTACAAACTTTTTTTCTGGTCACACTAAGCTTTGTGTATCTTTTACTAGATTATTATCTATTCTCTATGACTTTTTATTTCTTATGATTTGTTAGGAGGAGATTTTGAGACCAGCTATAGAGGGAACCCTGAATGTACTGCGATCATGCGGGAAGAATCCGTCCCTGAAGCGCGTGGTTCTCACCTCATCATCTTCAACAGTCAGGATCAGAGATGATTTTGATCCCAAAATCCCTCTTGACGAATCAATTTGGACCTCTGTGGAACTCTGCAAGCGTTTCCAGGTATAATAATTTGAAAGTGAAAGAGTAGCTTTTTTCCTCAACACAAAAATCATATTAGCTAACAGTTTGTGTAAATGAGTTTCACAATTTGATGCAACATGGGAAAAAAGGTCTGGTATGCCTTATCAAAGACATTAGCCGAGCAAGCTGCATGGAAATTCTGTGAAGAAAATGGTATTGACCTCGTCACTGTTCTACCATCCTTCCTCGTCGGACCCAGTCTGCCTCCTGATCTATGTTCTACAGCGTCTGATGTCCTCGGATTACTGAAAGGTACTCACTTTCTCATTAATTCTCTAAGCAAGATCACATGACTCGTTTTTGGGTCCAATATCCATCTGCTACAATAGCTTATAACTTGTCATTCAACACAACAGGAGAAACAGAGAAGTTCCAATGGCATGGACAAATGGGGTATGTTCATATCGATGACGTTGCACGAACCCACATACTTGTTTTCGAACACGAAGCAGCGCAAGGCAGATACATTTGCAGCTCTAACGTTATCAGTCTAGAGGAACTAGTTTCATTCCTATCTGCTCGTTACCCATCACTCCCTATCCCCAAGAGGTTTGGCACTGACCTTTAAATTAAACCATTTCTCAAACCTTGTTAACGTTGAAAAGTATAGATGATGATACTCTCTTTGAAAATTTCAGGTTTGAGAAATTAAATAGGTTGCATTACGCCTTTGACACCTCGAAGATACAGAGTCTCGGGCTCAAGTTCAAGTCCCTTGAAGAGATGTTCGATGACTGCATTGCCTCATTAGTCGAGCAAGGCTATTTATCTACTGGTCTTCCATAACTCTTAGACTAGAGAATATGTGCAAATAAGATTGCTCTGAAATAGTAGACATTTGGATTCACAATTAAAGAATAGAATCGGATAACATGTAGACAAACTTTGTTTATCTCTACTTGTTTATGAACCAAATCAAAACATATTTCATCTATCGAAGTTACGCTTTAAGACGACAATCCCTCTGAGAGAAAAAAAATTGGATGAAGATATCTCAAAACAACTAGTGTAGCAGGAGACAAGGAACATGTTTTAACTGCATAAGAGTGCATAGATGATGAAAGAAACTACTTAGTAGCCTGAGCGATTATGTTACTTATCGAAGTGGTCTCCTCTTTTGCAACCTCCACCAGTTGATCCTTCAACATCATAACATACAGAGATTGTCATGTCAAGACAAATCCTACAGACTAATCTCTGCATGTCGATGACTTAAGAAAATACCCTAGTACCTGAGCGGATATAATCCTGGCAACTGTTTTCTTGCTTGACTCTTGAAGCTCCCAGAGAATCTCAGCATAGTGATGAATGATGTCAAGGACCTCTAACTCGTTATCCTCCTGATCAATGCACATGCAGAAGTAGAGACTTGCATATCTTTTGTAAACAACTTTGTAGCCTCTCCATTCAACAAAATTGCAGAATAACTCCACTGAGTTCACGTATAACCTATACATAGCATGTAAAATGAGAGATGTATGCTGAAGCACAACATGGTGTGAATGAAGCTCAATAAATTGGTATCCGTACCTTAGATCTTTCCTTCTGTGCGTAAGGTGAATACCATTTGGTGAGCCTTACCTTTCCTTGCCGGCTAACTAGAAGCACAAAATGTATCCGAAAACAACCGATCAATTCATGTTCAAGAGCAGATCAAACTAATGAAGAAGAAGCATACAAACGAAATCGGAGATGCGAAATACACAGAATCGAAGATCGAGCATTAGAGATTGTTACCATGATTTCGTAACTCAAGACGGAACAAATCTGTAGCAGCTAATTCCCAGAAACTGATGATCGACGATCCTCAGAGGAAAAATATAATCGTTTTTCTTTGCTCAAACTGTCAAACGTGTCGAGTGCCAGGGGTATTAATTGTCATTTACTTATTTAAAAAACGGATTGCATTTCGGGTCGGATCCATGCAAAAAGGTGATCCGACTCTGAGCTACAATTTTTTCAAATAATTTTGTTCCATTATTGCGTCTAAAAATTCTACTCCACGTTTTAGAAGATTCCGATGATCGATCAAACCACCATAGCAATTATCTTCTTAATGTTATCGAATAGACCAGCATTACACGTTAAACGCAGCAATTACTATGTCAAAGGATTTTGAATGAACATCATTATTCAGTTAATCTTATAGAATTACTTTCTTAAATATCAAATATTAATTTTTTTTATACTTGGGTCACGAATATTCAATATTTTATCCCTAAACCCCAATAAATAGTGGTTAGGACCGATAATCAATTTTAGAAAAATATAAGCATACTTTAATTTCTAACTAAGAATGTAAATATAATTGTCCATAATCAAAATAGACATTTTTTTTTTGGTGCAACGTAACCATCAATCAAAATAGACATAAACAACAGTTTTAATAAGTCAAATAACAGTTTTGTTACAAAAAAAAAAAAAAAATAATAATAATTCAGATAACAGAAATAACTCCTGAACTAATTTGAGCAGCGACTTTGGACAGTGGACATGCACAACTGTGAAGTTATGAATATGAAGTCTTACATAAGCTTGTATTTATTTAATAACTTAAATTACGCCTAACCTTGGAGTTGGAGGGAAGGCATATTCTCTTGCATGCACGCTTTTGATTTTTTCCTTTAATTTTTGTTTCTCTCAAGTTTCAATGTGTTTTGAAGTTGACATCATCATAGATACTAGGGTTTTAGTTGTTCTCCCCAAATATTCTTTCCCTTCTTTGCCAGAGAGTGGAAGTACAGTTTTTTTATGACCAATAAATATATATACACACAAATTATAACATGTTTTATATGACAATAATCGGAAGATTTAGTTAAAGCCTTAATATGTGGAACATCAATTAACGAATGTAAAGTCCATTTTCTCCGTATTACTCACCTAATAATTAGGGACTAGAACAAGTTATAACAACAAGGGGTTAATTCAAGCTATGTCACAAAAATAAGACTTCTTTAGTTCTTTTTATAACACTTACCAATTCTATTCATAACAAACGAACAGAAAAAAGGAAACTTTAGCGTTCGTTTTCTTTTTCACACACCAAGTTTTACGAGAAAGCAAATATAAATAAAAAAACCCTAGTATTCGCATTTCGCAACCGCTATAGCTAGTAGCCTAGTAGTTTGAGGTCAAACACAAACGCAACAAAAGGTGTCACCAAAACGCTATAACACGCTAAAATGCGGGTCTAGTCAGGCCGCCGCCTCCTCCTCCGTTACTGCCGCTCATACCGAAAATATCTCCCCCGGAGAATTGAAAATTGTTCATATTCATTCCAAGATTGTAGAAAGCAACACCTCCTCCACCATTTCCACCTTGGAGGTTTGACTCACACGCCTGGGCCCCACTCCCCGTAACCTCTGACGACTGAGACGCCTCCGGCTGCTGCTGCTGCACCCCGGTGGCTCTCGGCGGTGGAGTTTCTTCCTCTTCAATCGGTAATCTATCATAAACTGCGTTTGCAAAAGAAGCAGCCATCAACACAACCGGACCCGAAGCAATTAACGAACCAGCCACATTCCCTCCTACAACTTGTCCTTGACCTCCGGCTAGATACACCGTCAAACCTCCTGCTCCCGGTGGCGCAGGCGGCGGAAGCGCAGTCCCAGTCAAAGACAAAATCTCAAACCGACCATGCAGGGTAATCACACCTCCACCCGCCGGAGCCGCCGGTTGCCGTATTGTGACGTTAGTTACCGCACCAGTGCCGCTTATAATGCAAACGCCGCAGCCGCGACGAGTGGCATAGGTGGAGACAGCCTCGGATATGTCCGAACCAGAGGTGACTTCAAGAACGTGGGATCTAAGGACGTTAGGACTATCTCTGGTTATAATCGTCGGAGGTTTGGGTTTATTTTTTGAACCTGCAGGACGACCACGTGGACGGCGTCCGGAGGAAGAGCCAGAGGCTGTGGCTGAGCTGGCTGCTCCGCCGGTGGGAGTGGTCTCGGCCTTGGCTTCGTCTGCTTCAGATCTGTTAAGTTCCATGTTATTTTGATCAGGTGGGGTTCTGGAATCTTCAGGTCTCTGTAGATGCAGTTCTTGCCCTAGAAGAGGGTGCATATAACCAGCCATTGATAACTTTGGGTTTTTGGATTGTTTTGGTTATAGTGAGAGACAAAAGACAAAAGTCGACAGAAAACTTAGTGATGAAGTGGTTTGTCACTGAGAGTATTTCAGAGGCTGAGTTTGATTAATAATGCTACGGACAAAACAAGAAGACGACAAGAGAGAACAAAACCTTACTGATAATAAGAGAGAGAGAGGTCTAAATATGTGAAAGAGCTGGGTCGGTGAAATTTGTCTGGACCCAGATCTAGATCTTCATGTGAAGTAATGGAATGAAACAAAGGAGAGAAAGAAGTAAAGCAAGAGCATCAAAACACTATATAAACACAGCTCTCTTCTAAATTATAATATCCATAAATATAAGTACAAATATATTTGTGTATATATAATATTTTGGGTTGGTGTAGTGACTTTTCCTCGAGTAAAGAAAAAAAAAACTAAATTAAGATGTTGACGACTTAAGAAGGGATTGATGGATTCTGTGGGAGACAAAAGAAGGATTCTGGGGAAGTAAATCACGGAGATAGAGAAGTTAAAGGATAGGCCTTTTGTGACGGTGAAGGGATGGTTTGGTGTTGGTGATATGATGATTGTAGATTTGTTTTGTTTAATTTATTCTCTCAAAGCAAAAAAAAAAGATAACAAAAGCGAATGTAATTTGTTATTCCAAAGTCAAGTTATGCTGTTTGATTTCAACAATAACCGGCCATACTTTCGGTTAGCGTTTTTTGTCGGTAATAGCACAAAGATTGTCCTCTCTTTTTACAAATTTAAGATCCGAGGTTTTAAATGCTAGCATTTGCTTCTTACCATTAGTCTAGATATAAATCATATGTATTTAACATGACAAGAACCAATTTCTGAAAGAAAAAAAAAATATATTTTTGGTCAATCAAGATCTTCTATTAAAGACCGAAACATGCATATAGTAGAAACTCTAATTTGAGACAATGATTCAACATTTGCCCCCAAAAAAAGAAAGAAAAGACAATGATTCAACATATCTCCTAATAAAAATATTGTTCAACAAAAACGCTTTGCTAGCTAGATAATATAGTTTTTTCTTCAATTTGGAAGCTATATATCTTATGACTATTGATTTTATGATTGTTCATTTAAATGAAGTAAATAACTATACATTATTGAATAAAATAATAGAAATTAATGGAAAGTGGGCCAACAAGAAATATAAAAAATATTTGAATTGTTATAATTCATCATATTGGACTTATAACCGGGTCCAATAAGCTCATCATGGTTATTCATTATGTACTCTAAAACCCTAGGTTTATATGCCTAGATATATGTATCATTATTCATGGAATGGAATGAGATAACAATAAGTTTCACAACACGTTATCAGCACGAGTTTGCTCTTAACAACCCTAACCCTAAAAATCGCAAACACTGTTCACGCCGACACTGTTCATCGATACTGTTCATCGACACTGTTCGCCGTACTGTTCATCGCCGTACTGTTCATCGCCGTACTGTTCATCGCCGTACTGGTCATCGCCGACACTATTCATCGCGGCACAGTTCATCGCCGACACTGTTCATCGCTGACACTGTTCATCGCGACACTGTTCATCGCGACACTGTTCATCGCGACACTGTTCATCGTGGTACTGTTTGCGGTTCGTTGCAGCAGCGTAAGTTACCGAGGTCTTTAGCTCCCGGTTCAATCCGTTCAACCCCAATTGGTGAAAGATGTCAAACATTCAGAAAGTCGAGTTCGAGGCCCTCAAGGTCTCCGGTGAAAACTATCTCGAATGGGCCCTGGACACCAGGATTTTCCTCAACTCAAAGGGACTGGGTGAGTGTATCAAAGCGGATAACACCGCATCTGATAAAGACCGGTCCCAGGCGATATTTCATATCCGCCATCATTTGGCCGCAAGCCTCAAACAGCAATATCTCACTCTTGAGAACCCACTCGAACTTTGGGTGGCCCTGAAAAAACGGTATGATCACCAGAAAACGGTGCTCTTGCCACAAGCCAAGTTTGACTGGAAGGAACTCCGGTTCCAAGATTACAAATCTGTGGATGACTACAACTCCGAACTCTTTCGGATAGTTTCAATCATGAAACTATGTGGTGAAGAGGTGTCTGATAATGATCTCCTCGAGAAAACATTATCCACCTTCCATACCCAAAATATTGTGCTTCAGCAACAATATCGTGCAATGAAACATACATTGTACGAAGATTTGTTATCCTGTTTGCTCTTGGCCGAGAAAAACAATGACCTGTTAATGAGGAACAGTGCCCAGAGGCCCCCGGGATCGGCTCCAGTACCAGATTCCCGCAAAGAATCCTACAATGTCCAGCAAGACAGATCCTCAGATCGTGGCCATGGACATGGGAATGGACGTGGGAATGGACGTGGAAAGCGTGGACGCGGAAATGGACGTGGCAACCGACATAACCTCGGTTATGGTTTCGGTAAGGGCCGTGGTATCTCTAAACCAAGCCGCCCTGCCCACCCAACCAATCAGTCTGCCTGTACCAGTTGCGGAATGTTCAATCACTGGACAAAGAACTGTCGTATTCCCAAGTTTCATTGTGATTTTTATCAGAAACATGGGAAAGCACCTGCTGAAGCTAACATGGCCCTGCAAGTTGATGCTAACGACACCACCATCGAGCCGACCGATCCCATGGACTACGAAATCTCAGATCTCCTCGATTGATTCTATCATCTGAACATGTGTTGTTATCAAACGGCACACATCTGGACATTCCAGATGCATTATACTCACCCAGCTCAAAAAGAAACCTTCTAAGTTTTAAAGATATCAGACTTAATGGTTTCCACATAGAAACCCAGGGTGAAGGGAATAAAGAATCCCTACTGATCACTAAGATCACACTTGGCCATAAACAAGTCCTCGAGACTATACCCGCTTTATCTATTGGCCTTTACTATGCCAAGGTCAGTATGATTGAGGCTAATAATGCTCTCAAAGCCCGATTCCAAGACTACACTATTTGGCACGACCGGCTTGGTCATCCCGGTACGACCATGATGCGTAAATTAATCCAAAGTTCTCAAGGACACACCCTTCGAGAAAACCGAGTCTTCCCTCAGCACCTCATGTGCACAGCTTGCTCCCAAGGGAAGTTGATCACTCGGCCTTCACCAGTAAAAGTGTCCAAAGAGACATTGCATTTTCTGGAAAGAATCCAAGGAGATATCTGTGGTCCCATTCACCCACCTTCTGGGACATTCCGGTACTTCATGGTACTAATAGATGCTTCGACCCGTTGGTCGTATGTATGCCTGTTGTCTTCTCGGAACCAAGCTTTTGCTAGGTTGTTGGCTCAAATCATCAGATTACGAGCCCACTTTCCAGACTTCCCACTAAAGACTATACGTCTTGATAATGCTGGTGAATTCACTTCCCAAGCGTTTAATGATTACTGTATGGCCATGGGGGTGACCGTTGAACATCCTGTGGCACATGTCCATACTCAGAATGGACTTGCTGAATCATTCATTAAACGAATCCAATGGATTGCTCGACCATTACTCATGAGGTCGAAACTCCCGGTCTCAGCTTGGGGACATGCAGTATTATATGCTGCTGAACTAATACGCATCCGACCATCTAGTGAGCATAGATATTCCCCATCCCAATTATTACAGGGTCATGAGCCAGACATCTCCCATCTCAAAACATTTGGGTGCTCAGTCTATGTACCCATTGCTCCACCACATAGAACCAAAATAGGACCTCAAAGGAGGATGAGAATATATGTTGGTTTTGATTCTCCCACCATCATCAAATATCTCGAGCCGACCACTGGAGACCTATTTAAGGCCAGATATCCCATTTTGGTTCTATGTGGTGGAGCAATGGGTATCAAACATCCTTAAATTGGCAAGCTGGTCAAAGAGCTATCATGGAATCAAACATCCTTAAATTGGCAAGATCCTCGGACTCTAGAATGTGATTCGGAGATCCAAAAGATTATACACTATCAAAAGCTAGCTAATCAATTGCCAGATTCCTTTGCTGACCCGAACAAAGTAACCAAATCGTACATACCAGCTTGTAATGCACCAGTACGAATCACTGTTCCAACGGGACAAGTTCAAGTTGCTACAGAGTCTGCATCATGAAATAAACGTGGCAGACCTCTAGGTTCCAAAGACAAGAATCCACGGAAGTCTAAGAAAGGTGCAATAGTTGAAACCGGGATTCCCAATATAACAGACATAGCGCGCGCTGAGACTCACTCTAATGAACCACCAGAAGAGGTTCGGGACGCCGAATCTCTAGGTTCTGACGAGATCGATAACGATGAGATCTCTATCAATTACAACATGTCTGGAACCCAATGGAACAGAAAAGAAGTCGACTTAAATGCACTCTTTGCATACAAAGTAGCACTTGATATTGCGAACACGCAAGAGGATCTAGAACCCACGTCTATTACAGAGTGCACTCATAGAACAGACTGGCTAAAATGGAAAGAAGCCATAAACGTGGAGTTAAAGAGTCTCAAACTCAGGAATGTGTTTGGTCCGATCATCCGGACACCATTCAATGTCAAACCAGTGGGCCATAAATGGGTCTTTGTGCGTAAAAGAAACAAACTCGGTGAAGTCGTTCGTTATAAAGCACGGCTTGTAGCACAAGGATTCTCACAGAGACCCGGAATCGATTATGAGGAGACTTATTCTCCGGTGGTGGATGCAACTACTTTTCGATTCCTCATAAGTCTGGCCATAAGAGAAAATCTAGATTTGCGGTTAATGGATGTTGTCACCGCATATCTCTATGGGCCCCTCGACAATGAAATATACATGAGATTACCAGATGGCATAGAGCTTAAAGATAAGCATGTATCTCGAGATCAATACTGCATCAGGCTGAACAAATCCTTGTATGGACTGAAACAAAGTGGACGTATGTGGTATAACCGGTTAAGCGAATATCTCATCAGAGAAGGCTACAAAAACGATCCCATCAGTCCATGCATTTTCATCAAGAAATACTCAAACAAAGGATTTGTAATCATAGCAGTTTACGTGGATGATCTAAACATCCTCGGAACATCTGGTGAAATTTCCCAAACAGTCGACTGCTTGAAAGCAGAATTCGAAATGAAAGACCTAGGTAAAACTAAATTCTGTTTGGGTTTACAACTTGAGTACGTTAAAGGAGGAATCCTTGTGCATCAAGCGGCTTACATTGAAAAAGTACTCAAGCGATTCAATATGGACCAGGCCCACCCATTGAACAACCCAATGGTTGTCCGGAGCCTAGGATTGGACAGTGATCCATTTGGTCCCAAGAAGGACGATGAAGAAATTCTCGGTCCAGAAAAGTCATACCTCAGTGCTGTAGGAGCGTTAATGTACTTGGCTAGTCACACTAGACCAGACATTTGTTTTGCCGTGAACCTCCTAGCTCGCTTCAGCTCATGTCCAACTCAGAGGCACTGGAATGGTATCAAACGCCTCCTAAGATACCTTCAAGGTATTAAAGACTTAGGACTGTTTTACACTAACCACAACAAGGATGGACTAGTTGGTTTTGCTGATGCAGGTTATCAATCAGATCCGCACAATGCCAAGTCTCAAACTGGTTATGTGTTCACGCATGGAGGAACATCTATCTCTTGGAGATCGATAAAGCAGACAATCACTACCACTTCATCAAACCATGCAGAACTTTTGGCCATTCACGAAGCCAGCAGAGAATGTGTTTGGCTACGATCCATGACTCAGCACATCCGATCAGATTGTGGTATGAAAGAAGATAAGGAGCCCACGGTTATGTTTGAAGACAACGCGGCTTGCATTGCTCAACTCAAGGAAGGTTATATCAAAGGAGATCGGACGAAGCACATCCTACCGAAATTCTTCTCAACCTCGGATTGGCAGAAGGATGGTACGATCAGCGTTCAACAGGTCCGATCATGCGATAACTCCGCCGACCTTTTCACCAAATCATTGCCCGCTTCAACACTCCGGAAGCTCATCCAACAAATAGGAATGCGTAGACTTAGAGATCTACGGTGATGCTCTAATCAGGGGGAGTAATGCGTGTTGTACTCTTTTTCCTTCACCATGGTTTTTCCCACTGGGTTTTCCTGGTAAGGT